TTTATTTTGTATAAGGTTAAAAACAAAATCAATATAGCAAATTTATGTTGTATTATTATTTATCATAAAAATATTATTAAAAAATATATATTAAAAATTAACAATATATAAAAATATTATATATTTTTATTTTTAGTATACCACTTATTTGTTATTTATAAAACCAAGGGTACGGAAATTAAGAAGAAAGTTTAATAAAAATATCCAAAATAATCTCGACCTTATGTATTCATTTGATGTTGATTACAAAAATTCTGTGGACAATACGTATAAAATAGCATATAGTTAAATTAATGAAAACCAATAAATAAGTAATATTAATTAATGGGTCCAATTTATTTTACTTTAATGAACATAATATAATATTTTAATTTTTTTAGAAAATAAATATAATTATATTAATATTATATATTAAGATAAAATAATAAATATTATATATAATACCTAGTAAAATGCTATAATATATGAAAAATAAACTTTTATTTAATAATACAAATGGAAGAATAAGCATCTATTCTATATAAAAATAGAATAAATAATGTGAATATATATTATTTCCTTATTTAATGAAATTGTGGTACATTATAATAATTAATTTGGAGATATAAGCTTTGTGTGTTCAACGAACATTTATTCTCACAGAACAAAATATTAGCTCTCAGATGAAAATTATACTATAATATTCGAATAAAACTTATCTGATTGTAAATATATATATAATATTAGTTTCTTTGAAATAAAATAGAAAACATAATGAGTGTTATACATTCCTTTTGGTGAAATTATATGTAGCTAATACAAAAATTATATTGATATTTAATAGTTTTTTCCAATTAATATAATATAAACAAAAGAGAATGAAAAAAGAAATGATGTTAATAATATAATTAACACATTTATATTTTGTAAAACATATGCACTTCCTAACAATGTACATTTATAAAAAGTAGGATGTATCTTGTTTATGTAAATATGTAAAATTATTACAAATTAATATGGATATGCATAATTTTAATGGAGTTTAAAATAAAAAATAGGGTTCTTAATTGTAAAATATTAAAATTGTATAAAGTATTTATTAATTATCTAAATTAGTTTAATATATATTTATACTATTGATAATCATTAAATCATATTTTTTAATTAGAATATATCTCTCCAATGAATTTTAGAAAAATAATTGAAGAAATTTTAATATATTAATTTGATGAATTAATTTAAATTTCTTCAAAATTTTTTTCCTATATATATATTTAAAAATTTTTATCATTAATTAATATAATAATATAATTTAAATACCAAATATTTTAAAATGATTAATATAATTCTATGAAATATCTTTAATGTGTATTTATTTTTAAATACAAAGAATATGGTTTATTTCTAAATTTTAAAATATTATATATACAATATTCAGATTTATGTTAATTAATTGCTGAATAAAATTATTCTAGTTTCATTTTTAATATTATTTAATTTCTATTTATATAATTATGTGTAATAAACAGAAGTACCTAATACATTATCATCATGACAACAATTATACATTATGATTTATTCAAAATAAAATTACGAAAATAACGATTTTACATTTATTTATAGGATTTACTGATTCGCGTAGACATTATTTAATTTATAGTCCCTTTCATATCTGTTTAATTTATTTATTTATTTAATTTAATATTTCACCCATTATTTTATATATATCTAATAAAAAATTAGTGCATTTCACAAATTGTATATTATGAACACAATTTTTGTATTAAATCTGAGCTCATCTTATTTCATATGCGTATTAATAATATATTATATTTCTATTTTTATTTGTATATATTTATAATTTAATACAGATATTATAATTATAGTATATTATATTGTTATATTTCAAATTTTCTATTTTACAATTCACTCTATATTTTAAAAAATCTAGGGAACGCTTATAATATTTCAATTGTTATATGCAAATAATTTTATAAGTATAATTATTTAATTTTCATACAAAATGCCCCTTAGTTAATTATTTTATAAAATAACATTAATTAATTTATTATTACATTATTATTATTTTATTGAGCTATATATAAAAACATTTCTTTTTGAATTATTGTATCTTTGTTCAAACGAATCTATTAATGTGTTACTATCTCTTTTTTATTTTTTTAGCATTCTCCTTAAATTACATAGCTTTGGCTGCAAAAATTAACAAAATGTTGTATACTAAAAACAACATTAAATGTTATATCCTTATGCAAAAGTAATTTATTATATATATCAAATTCATAGTTATATGTAATATTAATTTTATAAAAATTTTATATAATAAATTAAATTTAATTTTAACTTTATATAATATGAATGCAATTATAAATATTGTAAATGATAAAAGAATATAAATTCTTTCAATACGTGTGAATAAAATTGAACCTATTCTTGGTACATCTCTGAATCTAAAGTTTTCCTTCTCTCTATGATTGTAGCATCGCTTATTTCCCTAAATGTGATTATTAAGGCTATTTTTTATTTAAGCTATATTTATTATTGCTCATCTGTTCTAACGTTTCTCCATAATTTTAATATTTCTATTAATCTTAGTCAAAAAAATTTATACAAACACCAAAATTAATTTTGTATAAGGATTCATTAAAAACTAATTTGTGGAAACATTGTCAAATATAAAAATTATATTAAACTTATGTATGTTTGCTTATTTATATGATAACTAATTATATTTTTAAGTTGAATAATATTTTTCAGACTGTAAACAATTATTGAAATATTTTTATTCATTACAATTTAATAAACATTTATACAATACGAAATATATTACAATCATATTATTCACCATTATTATCATTGTTAAAATTTCTAACACTATATAACAACGGATTATTATTTATTAGATTATTCATATATTAGTTAGTTTACATTTTCAAGCAATTTATTTAATTACGGCTAATTAGACTTTTTTAGAATTTTATATATATATGTCTATTATTTAATAAATTTTCAATGCATAAAAATCATATTTGTATCCATCTATATTGCTTGAATATAATATATAAAATTAATTATTTTAATATGTATTGTAGTGCATAATAATTAAATTATATTTATTTTGCATAATATGTCCCAAAGCATGTTTTAAAGATTATTTCATTTATATTTTAAAATTATTCTTCTTTAGAGGAATTAATTACATATATTGATAAAGGATTTACAATTAATTATAGTAGCACTATTATACGCGTGAGGTATTTAGTACATTAAAAATATATGTTTGTTGAATAAAACATAAATCATTAAAATGTACTACAAAAACTAAAATTTAAAAATTTATAAAATTTAAGGTGTGAAAGATTATTAGGAACAATTCCATTAATAAAATATAATAATAATTATTATAAAATAGATAAAAGACATTGATAAAATATTATTATATAAAAATAACATTTATAACCTCTTACGTTCCATATCTATTATAGCACTAAACTTTACATATATTACATGTATAATTTATATCATATGCATATAATATTTTTAATAAAAAAATTTATATTTTTAAAAAAAATAATTTATTTCATTTCATCTTCATTAAATGCTATAGCATGACATAAATATATAAATTCCTATATTATGTGTTAAAAAAATTATATGTATTTTTCCAAAGAATATGGTTTTAATAAATATATATATACATTTAGTGAATTAATCAACAATGCATAAAAAACAGAAACAATAAAAAAAAATATTAAACCATCAATACCATGCATTATTTATGAATTAAATAATTTTAGACATAAACAAATTATATAACCATACGCCCTAAACCCTATATTTTAAAAATTATTCTCTTATTTATAGAAAATATATATTTATTTAGTTTGCTTATTTTACTTAAAAAATCCATTAAGCATCGTTAATATTTATGAAAATATGTTTCTTCATTTTCTGTGGTGTATGCTACTTTGTATTCATCCTGAATTAAACCTTTGTATTCCATTTCAAAGATATCATTTGATATATAATTGTCTTTATGTTTATTATTCATGTGACTTCTTATCTTTCTTGCTGTTCGTTGTAAATATAATCCAATAAAATTAAACTGTTTGTAATAAGAAAAGAAAAAATATTTTTATTAATATGCTCTTTTTTTTAATGTAAATGTTTAAAATAATTTTTAATACATAATGTAACTCAGTGTCCTTTTTTAAATTAATTGTATGTTTAACCCTATAAAAAATAAATACAGTTATTAATATTGTACATAATACAATAAATGTCGCTACAGCAAACCGGGTTGTATTTGATTTTGAGGTGACAGCTAAGGATTCAGCTACTTCTATGCATTCAGATAAACGCATCATATAATTACTGTTTCTTTCTTTCAGGTTACTTATAGTCTTACAAAAATTATTACTATTAGATTTTTCACATTTTTTTAAAAATATTAAATATCTTTTATAATCAGAGCTATTGGAAGGACATTTAAAAGTACGGCCGCCATCATGATCGTACATTTCAAGATAATAATTCAGAAATTCCAGAAAAATTAAGTTAAAAAAGGAATAATCATTAAGATGATTATTAAGACCACTACATATATTAAGATTAGTTAATCCATTTAGGTAATAAACCTCGGTCATTCTTTCATAAGCCGTTTTTGTATCCTGATAGTCACAATTATACTGTCTCAATACATGTTTTAGCTGGTAGTTGAAACAAGTACAATATTTTCCATTATTATAAGTTAAAGAAGAATTACTTATATTATGTAAAAAATGAGTAAGTGCAGAACATTTATTAATGAATGAACTCTTCATATTTGAATTAACACCTATCCTATAAAAAATCAGTTGGCACATATTTTCATATTTATTGTTTGTTTCAATTAAACTAGTGTTTTCAGCATTATAAAAATCTTTTGTACACTTTGGAAAAATATCTTCATAGTCCAACTTAAATTGAAAACAATTATGCATACAAAAATTTAATCATATATATTAAAAAATATTTATTTCTCAATTTCTGTAAAGGTAGTATTTATAAAATTCAGATATATAAATTATAATTATTTAAAAAATATAAGTAATACCTTATCTTCCATAATCATCATATGTTTATGTTTTATATATATTATTTAATGCAAAAATAATATTAATTCTTTTCAATAGTAAATTGCAATAAGTAAAAAAAACAATATAATAAAAAAAATTATACTGATAGAAAAGTATTCATTATTAAAAACATTTAAATTTACAGAGTTTTAAATCGTTTTGATTATTGTTAAGTAATTCATGAATATTACACAGGTTTAGGGTTCATGGTTTAGTTTCTATGGTTTATAGTTCAAGGTTGTGAGTTTATGTTTTAGCTTTTAGTATTTTTGCTTTAGTATCCATTGTATTAGTATACTTATTTTCTATTGGACATTTAGATTTAGTGATTTTGTTCATATTTTTTATTTTAGATATATTTTATTTTTCTTTACAGATTTATGTTTATTATATAGTAGTCATAATAATTTTTTTTTGTTTTTTATATATATCATTTTATATCCACATTTATGTATCACTTATATTTATATATATAACTCTTTTTTATTGTTATTATATTGCTATATTTATATTATTTTGTGATTTTTATTGGATAATATAATTATTTTTTATTTTAAATTCTGTTTTTGTAAATATATATTATTTATTTATTAATTGTATATTTTGATATAGATAATTACATGTTATTGAAATAAATAAATCCTACATGTTGTCCTATTGATAATAAACATTAAATACAATTACATTTATATATATTTAGTGATCACGTAAATGTCGCTTTATTTTAGAATGTAAGTTCAATTTTCAATTACTTTTTGTATATTTTAATGTTTATAATTTAATAGAAAACTTGTATTTTTAATCAGATTTAATATAATCTGATTTAATTATTTTTTATTTTGAACTATTTTAAATTAAATTATCATAAAATTTATTTTATTACATTTTTTTTCATTTATATGTCAATTAAGTTAAAACATTATTTGCATAATATCTTTAATCATATATATCTAATTTTTGCGTTAAACTATGCTGACAATATATATTTAATTCATTAATTATACAATAATTTTTATGTGAAAATTGTTATTTAAATTTATCCTTGTATTAAAATACATTATATTATGTATTGTTTATATCGTATTAGAGAGGAAATCATCGATCAATATGAATTATATTAGTTTATACATACCTTATTATATCATACATCAAAATTCAGTAATTTAATTAAAATTCATTTCTATTTTATGAGAAAAATATTTTTGAAGTAACATTATATATTAATATAGTTAAACACTTGTTTCCTTATATTTATTGTATTAATTACTATAATTGTGCTTGTATTATATTGTAATGTTGATTAAATGCTCCTATCCTGTATATATTACATTCAATTACTATGTAAACAAGTAGTATCAATGTTTTTCACAATATAAGCATGTGAATTACGGTGATTAAATGTTATATATATTAATATATTTATAATTAATATTATTACGATATTGATATATTTCTTTTTATAAGTTGTAATATATTATAGAATAAATGCGTATTAAGGAAAACTTTATGACAAATGTACTTAAATATTATTAATGAATTATATGTATATATTAATAAATGTAGTATCATAATTAAGATTAATAAATATAGAAACTTAAAAATACATTATTATTCTAAATACAATAATGTGTTTAAGTTATACAAGTGGAATATTAAGTGTATGTATTAATGAAAACCCGAAATTTTTGCATGATTATTGTTTATCTATGTTTTTTGAAATAAATTTTTAATAATAATCTAATTCATGTTTTATAATTTATGATACATTTATTCTTGTGATAATATTTATGTAAAAATGTATATAGTTCGTAACCGTAATATCTTCAATATGTATAACTTTATTAATATGCATTTATATAAATCTTTTACATAGTAAATATTTTTATAGATATATATTAAAATATATGCATATATTTTTAATAAAATTATTACGCTGAATTAGTATTATCTAATCATTCAAATGCATTAACATCAATTAATTATTCTTAGTATTAATTTACTTCATACAATTTTAGGTAAAAAATAATATTTATTGACACATTTAAAAATCTTTCTTATACATTTTAAATAATGTATATTTCTTTATTTTAAAATTTTATGAAAATAAATTATAAAATAATCATATTTTTATATTTTATTGCAGAAATATAAAGGTCGTCGTGTTACCCTTAAGAAAGGTAAAATATACATGTAATTAAATATGTAAATTAAAAAACATTTATAATGCGTTTCTATTATTTTTGCATGATTACAATGGTAAAAATATATTTTCTTTGAACTTATATTTTTTCTTTAGTTAATTATTTATTTTTATTGATAATCATTTATACAGATTATAATTAAATAATTTAATATATAGTACATTAAAGAAATGATATATTATCCCATGTCTTTTTTTTTTGTGTGTATAATTTAACTGTTGATTCATCTAAAATGTTCAAATAATATTTAAATTGCGCAAGAATGAAGAGCAAATTATTATATACTTATATTCAAGTATACAATGTGTATATAATATGAACGATATAATTCTATAATTATTATCCCACTATTAAAAATAAAGTATATAGTAATATAACGTATTATGATAAGGAGGTATTTTGTGATAAAAACATGATTCATCAGATTTAGACGTATGTATATATATAATGTAATTTTATTAGTTACAATTATAATTTACATAAGATATATATGTATTATTAAGGTCGACCTGTCCTTATAACAATTTATTGAAGAATTATATAAATTATATAAATTATATATTCAAACTAAAACAAAAAAAAGAGAACATAAATAAAACAATTAAATAGCGTTAAATGAAACATAAACGTAAAAAATAATTCATTGCATTTTTTTATATACTTCCATAGAGAAATATAACATGTAATATA